AAAAAATTTTCCTTGAGAAAATTTGGCATGTACTGTACCTGATATATATACAAAATAATCGATATTGAATTTAATCGAATCGTGAAATTTGTCAAAACCCAGCCCTACAAAATACACTGAAGTTTGGGGTCGGTAAGATATTATTATTATTTTATTTTTAATAACGTCTTCTGCTCACTGAGTCTGGTCAAAAATACAGTAATTTAAAATAACTGTTTTCTATTTTAACATTTTAAAAAGTAATTTATTCCTACTCAAGAAACATTTCTTATCAGTGTTGAAGACCATTTTATGGAAATTAAAAAAAATTTTTTTTTTTGATAAATTGAATGTTCAAATGAACAGAAGAATGTTACTTTTTTAACATTATAAATGTCTTTACTATCACTTTGATCAGTTTAATGCGTCTTTTTTTTAATAAAAGTATTAATTTCTTTTTTTTTAAATCTTACTGGTCCCAAAGTTTTGAACGGTAGTGTACATGTATTAAGTATAAATTGCACTCAGTTATAACTTGTATATGAACTTTGAAACTGCTGTTTAAAAAAAATTGCTAGAAAGTTCCTAAACAAGGACCAGAAGAATGATGTGAAGTATACGATTCAGTATTCATCAATTTTAATGCTTTATTTTGTTTGTTTTTGCAGTAAATAATTTTGGTACTGTAGTGACTTGCCACTTGATTTGAAATCTGGGTCCTAAAGCAGAACCAGTTGAAAAACGGACTCTTCCCCTGATATATTGACCCATGCCTTTTTTTTAAGGACAGTTAACCTAATAAATGCACTGTATGCAGTGGTAGCAGTTTTGCTTTATTTGGGCGATACACAGCATATGGTTCCTTCAGCGGTTCATTAATAAAGCGCCCTCCACTTGTTCGTCTCTGGGAACAGCCTATCTCATTCTGGTTTCTCCGAAAATCTCCACTTTCCCCACAAATCACTTACCCACCCCCCTCTGCTCTGTTCTCAGTGGCAGGCCTACAGAATATACATCCCGTTAAGGTGAGAAGAGAGACAGGAAGCGCCATGAGCTCATCTGTTTGACACTGTCTCATAAGTCATGCAGATTAATTAATTCAGCAAAAGATCTGGACGTAATGAGGCACCACTCTCCGCTGTGTGCCAAAGTGCTCTTTTTGAGGTCAGCGTTCAGTATTAACAGCCCTAATGAGAATCTGTTTATGACTCTGTCCCATAGACCATAATGTACCAAACATAGTAGGGTAATAACTGATCTCACCATGCTTTTTTATGCTTTCTTGATGTGGGGAGAATGACAACGAGGGTGAAGAACATAGCTGATGCTGCTGTCCGGCCAGTTGTAACTGATTAAAATCCCAAATGCCATTAGAGGCAACAAGGCAACATGCTGATAGGTGACATGTTAACTGCCTGACGCGTGCAGCTGTCGAAAACATATGATAAAGAATAGATGGGTGATGGACGGGAGATCATTTTCACCAGATTCCACAGTCAGAAAGGCTTTTCATAATTCTTTTATGCAAAAATGTGTTTTGTCACTAGGCTGATGTTAGTCTTTTGTCTTATGAATATATACGGATGCCATGCCACTATGTTTGTGTGTGTGTCTCATTTGATAGATCTTGAGCCTCAAGACAGTTGTCGTCAAGATCCATTTTATATAAATGCGTTTGAACACTTTAACTCAATAGGCCAACATGTAGCAGCATTGGAAAGGAGTGCATATTTGATTTTTTTTTCACTTTTTAATGTTAAAAATATGCTATTCAATTTTTAAAAGCTCTTTTACCTTTTTGAGTATTTAACATAGCTTCGCCTATTTATGCACTAGTGCTGTCCATTGCTTTGTGAAAATAGTTTTAATTGCACCAAAATTGTCAAACCTGTATAAACATTTACTGTCTTCTCTATTCTGTTCTCATTGTTTTCATAGGCTGTAATGGCCAGTGACTTTGCCCTGCCACGATTTCGATACCTGCAGAAGCTGCTCTTGGTTCACGGCCATTGGTGTTACTCTCGTCTTGCCAACATGATCCTCTACTTCTTCTACAAAAACGCTGTGAGACCCTGAAGTTTGCTCATTTCCTAATTATAATTACCATTAATATATAGGTTGAAGTTGAACTACTGTAAAGGGACTTTGAAAAACAATATGGCAGGAATAATACATATATATATATATATATATATATATATATATATTAGTTCGTCATTATTGCAAAAATAAACTCTTAAATGGTGATCAGTGTTGTATCATACTGAATGAGGTTTATTTTATGATAATGACAGGCTTGCTTTATATTAACTTGCTTATTACATGGCTAAGAAATACATAAATAGGCATGAAATATTGATTTTGAGTTGGAAATATTTGATTATGTGTGAAAGAGTGAGTGCTACAAGTGACAAGTAAGATATTAGTTGTCAGGGTCGATGGCCAAATGTACAGATTGTGGATCCTGTAGAATTATTAAAATGTTAAATTCACTTTTTGAATATATTTGATAGTTTTCTTCTATGAATCGTGATTAGTGCTGGATGATATAAAGTTCAAATTACCATTCTGATGTGTTAAAATATTTGTATATTTGTAATCATTAAAGGTAGGGTAGGTGATTTCGGAAAGGCTAGCAATAGCAAGCTAGCTTTTAAAGCAAGATCCAGGGGCACGGGAAGATGTTTTCGGTTGGTGGTGCTGTGTGTGTCCGTGTTGGGTGAAGGGGGGGGGGCTGGTTCACTTACGTCGGTGCTCGTGCTGGGGCTGGTGTTGTTTGGATGCCGATTTTGGAAAGTTTTTGCTGGGATGGGCATTTAAAAAAAATCTGAAATTCGCTTTTGCACCATTATCTCCTTGTATTAAAGTTAATCTTGTTCGCATTCTGTACAGTTCATGTCTGATACCACGCGCTAGCGTCACGTGTTCATGAGGATTAGGCTAATCATCCCATATAGAAAACATCACAAGTAAAATTAATCATGTTTATAAAGATAAACATTGGTTTATTATGGCCCACTTACAATTTACATTTCAGAGATCATTACAAATAAATTATTAAATGCTAAAACTGAATAAATTTAAATGAACAAACTTGGCATTGCATTTGCAACCATGTGAAAACGGGGTGCTGCAGCCCCCTCAGCACCCCTACTTCCCGTGTCCCTGGTAAGATCCCACCTTTCTTGCATAATCACTCTCCAAAGCCACGCCTCCTCCAAAACACATAAACACACACAGGCAGACCAGAGGCTAATCAGCGACACAATGAGAGACGCGTTGGTGGGTGATTGAATGCAACGCTATCAGATTACCTCATGTCTCATTCACCAGTGAGAAATCATTACAGCACAAAGTGCACAATATTAAAATAATAACGCTAACCATAATGGAACGCGCTGATGACATATGTCTGCGTGAACAGGGTGCGCGGAGGTATGCAAATACATACGTTGACAGGCAGGTAGGTCAGCCTATTGTAATGTTCTGACTAAATAATCTGATTGGTCGAATATTTTATGGTCCTACGCCTTCCACAGATAATATACATATAAATACATTTAGACCACTTAAAGGGGTCATATGATGCGATTTCAAGTTTTCCTTGGTGCAAATTCCACTCATGTTTAGTACATGTTAACTCAAAGATTCGTAGAAAAAATATAAATGTTGGACTCTGTGGTCGATTCTGTGTTAAGGTAAGGCATGTTATTCGCAATTATGTGTTGTGGCTGGGTTGTTATAGGTCTGCGTGACTCTCGATGTCTTAGGTCTAACTGAACGGAGGAATTATGGTATTCTTCTGTAGCCTGACGACAAGTAACTTTAACCGTTGTTCATGTGAACTCAGACAGTCTGATGCTTTGTTTATAGACTATTTGTGGGTGGCTGTTTGTTGTTTCACCTATCAATTCGTGTCGATAAAGTATAATAGGGTAAATCCTGTATAGTGATTTATCCTATATAGTGCTTGCATAAAGCTTGCATACACTTGTAGCTGTTATGTACCTTTGTAAGTCATTGTAAGTCACGCGCAAACGCAAGCGCACGATAACCGCCCCCCGTTATTAAAAAAAACAATTGGGCTCCCCCAAAGTCCACGGTATAGTTCGAACACTGCTTTCAACCAACATAACAAAACATTTTTTGAATCAAATCGCCTACCCTGTCTTTAAATATGAATTTGTATATTTGGTTTGTTAATGAATTGGTCTTTTTTTTTTTGCACAAAAAAGTTTTAATGCTTTAAACTTCATTCCTGTAATTATATATTTTAGCCATTATAAAAAAATATTCTGCTCAATCCTGCAGTCAAATAGCGTATTCCAGAGAGCCGTGTAATAATGCATCCAGTTTAACAGGTTGAAGTTTCATGATGTGAATAGTTTATAGCTAGAAGCTCTTAAATGTTGTTGTCTGTTCTTGATATATTCTTTGATTAATTGGGGAGGTCCTAGAAATATCTTGAACATAATGAAGATGCATGACTTATGAGGCAACAACTGCAGACTTCATTATAAATTTGTTGTCTTTCTCTCACCTCTTTTCCTCTATTCTGCTGTCTTTCTCACCCTAGATGTTTGTTGCCCTCATCTTCTGGTATCAGTTCTACTGTGGGTTCTCTGGGTCAGCCATGGTTGATCAGTGGTACCTGATCTTCTTCAACCTGATGTTCTCTGCATTCCCTCAGCTCATCACCGGCACCCTGGACAAAGATGTGTCAGCAGAAAACCTGCAGGAGTTGCCGCAGCTCTACATGAATGGGCAAAACTCAGAGGTACATGCTGTTTGGGCAGATAATAATTACACCATCCGTGAACTGCATGCATTGAATTATAATTGGGACCGAAATTACTATTGAAAGTGTAATGTAAATGGTAAATAAAAACCCATGAACAGCATTTTGCCACATGTATTCACACTTGAGTTGCCTGCGGTTTGCACCATCAGCAGTTCCTCTATTAGCAGATGAAGTATATTACCCGTGCCACAGTTATTGCTTTGATTGTTTTTTGCTGACCTGTTTCAAAATGGGTCTTTTATTCTCTGCTGAGTTTCATGAAGGGGAAAACAGCACGAGCAAGAGCAAACATTTTATAAAAGCAACTAATCATCTTGAGAGTGCTGAAATGTTTCAACCTGGGATAATTAAACTGCAGCGGTTGCCTCTGCTTTGCTAACCATATGCCTCTGCAGAGGTCTTCCTTTACTTTGATTTATTCACAAACCATTTATTTGTGTTCTATGACTCCGTTAATGGAACATCTAATGACGTTATAATAAAACATGGTCGTCTGGAATCGTGGAATAGTTTGTGCCTGGACCTGATTGTTTGAATTTCTTATACAGGAATATAAACCCTACATGTTCTGGATGAACATGATTGATGCCTTCTACCAAAGCCTCATCTGTTTCTTCATCCCTTACTTTGTAAGTTTGATTTGAATATTTTGAGCATTCACTAAAATTTCCACGCAAAAACCATGGCTGCTCAAATATGTCTTCCTTAAGATGGAGGCCATCTGATCTTAATGGAACTTTTTAGTACAGTATTTACAATTCGAGTGCACTGCAAAAATGTTTTTACTTGTTTTCCAGTAAAAATATAGAAAAATCCTTCAAATAAGAAGAAAAATACTTTAAGCAAGACTTCATAGGACATTAAGACTGATTTGCATAGATTGTCTTCTCAATTAGTATATTATGTCTGTTGTGCTGGCATTTTTTTTTTTTCAGTTGTTTTTAGCTTGTTAATAATTAATGCTTTAAAGTAAATTTCTTGTTTCAAGAATTTTCAGATATTTAACTGCAAATTTACTTTCTTTGTTTTTTTGCAGTGTGCATAAGAAGTGAAAATACTTAAGTAGGGTCTGTAAGTAAGCAGCGGTGTTGTTTGAATGTCATATATTTTCAGGCTTACGTTGACTCTGATGTGGATTTGTTTACATGGGGCACTCCCATCACCACCTTGGCACTCTTCACCATTTTGCTGCACTTGGGCATCGAAACCAAAACCTGGGTGAGTCTTGTTTTATAATATGCAAAATCGAATAGGATGGTGTGATGCAGTGGATAAAACACGGTCAAACTCACTCCTAAAACTCACTCTTCGTGGTTCTTCTGTACTGCTTTTGCAGTGTAAAGACAGTTGTGCGCTTGTTAAGATTGGTGAGTGTCTCTGGTTAAGCCTGCTTATTCTGTTTCTTATCTTAAACATAATTTGCAAAAATGCCGATAAGAGTAGTGAAGTCTGTTTTCAATCTGATTAATGTTCATTTTAATTAATCAATTCAGTAGTTTGTTTACGCCATCAGTTAGAAATATTCAAGGACATCCCTGCATGGCATTTTACAAGTATATAGGTAGATGTTGTTTATTTGTGTATTCATATTGATATGGTACATATAATGATTTTAATGTGATGTACATTTCTAATATAATCATTTTAAATTCTAATGAAAAATAACTATTCTTCCACTCAGTTTAAAATATATTTTTTAAGTATTTTAAACCTGTGATAACTTGTTTTATTATATTTTATTTTATTGACGTTAAAAGATCTTAAACAGCAAAAAAAATAAAATAAAGATTTTTATCAACAGTGCAGCAACATTGATACTAACTTTGTACTGCTATGGTATTTTATTATTTTCTTTAACACCTTTGTAGCTAACCCATTTTCTTCATATGTCATTGTTGCTTAAACTTCCTCTAAAACAATCTGTTAGCTTGTCGCAATATGTATGAGTATACACATCTTGTGTACGATTCATCTGACAAAGTTTAGGATTTGGAAATGATGAAGTGCTTCAGCTGAAATCAAAAACCCATCTCACACACATGTACGAGGGGGTAGAGAAAGCAAGCCTTTCCTTTCTTTCTCAAAGTATGAAATGAGGCCGAACACTGTGGCGAGGAAGACCAGGATGATGCTGACACGGCCAGAGACATTTATGCAGGGAGCCTCCTTGATTGGTTTGAAATGGGAGATACTGCACCATCAGGAGCCATACATCAGCCTGACAGCCCATGCAGGCAGCCTCAGTCCAGCCCACTGTGCTCATCTTTCTCGCTAACCACGGTGGCGTATGCATGGCCGTCACGCACTGGGTAGCTGAAACTGATAGTTGTTTTTGCCAACGCATGTCCTGTGGCGTAGTGTGAACTTCATTTATATATGTGTGCAGCCCGTATCTGATTCTCCTCTATTTTTCCCTCTTTTCGTGAGTCGCTGTTTTAGATTTATGAGCGTGAATTGGATTAGAGCTTTTTCCATTACACCGGCACTGTAAATTTTCAGCTGACAAGTTACGGTGCGTGACAAATGTCCTCTGCAGCCTCACTGTCTTTCCAGACATGATGATGGCTTCTGGTGTGAAAGAGGCTGTTCTTCACAGTAAATGGCTCAAGTAGAGAGTAAATGTTTCCAATAGTTGGGCTGGCAGCTTCATCGTTCCACGTGCTGCCCAGGAAAATGAGCACACGTACTGGAGAGAGAGCGAGTGAAACGACTTTTAGGTCATTTGAGGTGAGGGCAGTGTGGAGGCTAAGTACAAAGTCGGAAGGTTGTCGCCCTGTGCGCATTCAAAGTGAACCTGAATTTCTGTGCACAACCCATTTTAGGTCCATAATATCTAATTCAGGCAATTTAGCAACTCTTTGTAAACTCTGCCTTGATTGTCTTTAATTCTTTCACAGACATGGATGAACTGGGTGTCGATTGGCTTCAGTATAGCTCTCTTCTTTACTGTGGCGCTGTGCTACAATGCTTCCTGCCCAACCTGTTTCTCTCCATCCAACACTTATTGGACCATGCAGAGGCAGCTGGGAGATCCTATATTCTACCTGCTATGTGTTGTCACACCTATTGCCGCTCTTCTTCCCAGGTATATCTAACCTACACCCAGTTGGAAGTATTTGATCTAATTCAAATTTCTTTATTTTGCACGTCAAATTCCATATTGTCATTTCAAATTTCAAATAAGGGATTATTGTTATTTCTTTTAGTTTAATTTTTTTTTTGTTGCATTAATGTTTTGCAATTTCATTTTGGGATCCAAATATGGTTTTGCATTTTTGCACATCACAAAAATCTGTGTTAAATTCATGATGTTCAGGCTGGTGTCTAATGCCAGTTTAACTACGGTGCTCATGGGAGTTTTAGTTTTTGCTGACTTTGTTGTTTTCATGTCTCAGATACTTTTATAGAGCTTGTCAGGGAACTCTGTTCCCAAACCCTGTCCACGTGGGAAGACAACTGGACAAACTGCCAGTGGACATGCGCAGGATCTTCCTGAGTCAGAGCCAGATGAAGCTGGACTCCCTCGGGTCACTGTTTGCCCCCCGTGCCCCATTTTTCCCTGTCTGCAGGCCTTTCCAGAAAGACTACAGGCTCAGGGTAAAACAAACCCACATGAGTGGCACCAAACAGAAGGAGAAAGCTATAGCCAGCCCCATCCCATCAAAGAGCATGGAGATGCGGGACACACCTTTAAGCTCAAAAAACTCTGACAACCATATCACACTCAACTTCAGAATGCAGGAAGAAGTTCAGTCCTGCAGACAGGGCTCAGACAACCCCCTATCTGAGAGCTTACACTGCATGAAGGAACCTTTGAGTCCCATTACAGGCACTCTGCCGTACACCAAAGACACTCCTGGCTCCAGGACTATTTTGGATAGCACAGGCTTGGAGGCCCCGCTGAGCCCAATAGACCTCTGTCAGGTTGGGTTGCTCACCTCCACTCCATTGCTTCCTCAAACCGAGACTATGCAGCTCATGTCGCCACCCGGAAGTTGTTTTTTGGGACAAAAGCTAGATGACGAGGACCATTCAAACCAAAAGTCCCTACTGAAACAAGCCGGGGATGTGGATCACACCCAGTCTACTAGCTGCCTACAGGAACATTCACTCAAAACAACATTTCTATGATGCTTTCTACCTGTTACGCTGATTCAAATTTGCACGTTAGCTTTAAGAAATTTTATTATATATTCATGATTATTTTATGAAGATATAGGTTGGTACTACACATGTATACATGTATAAAGTTTAGAATAAATGTTTTTTATTTTTTTGAGAAAGAGTGGCCAGCATATGCAAACTGGATGGTCTTATGATTTACTTTGACTGACTTTTTTTTTTTTTTTTAATCCATCTCAAAAGTGGAGGAGGTTTGTTTCTCGAGGCAGAAGCAGTCCAGAGACATTCCTTTATCTGTTTATTTGAACCTGGATGTTCTGGCGCACTTTAAAGAACCTTCCTCTCCTACCTTTAGACACTGCTGATAGCTCTATACATTTGTATTTCCCCATCCCAGTACTAAAAAAAATCATAGTACCCTTCAATGTCTGAAGCTACAGAAATTTCAGTAACACTTTACAAAAAGTGTACAAGAGAAGTCCTGAACTAATACTTTGTTTTGAATAAAGGCATGAACTAATCAAGAACTAATAGTGTGCGACAGGAGTCATTAATAACAGCCTTAACATCATGTTAGTACATATTTGGTGTACTGTTAGTTAATACATTAACACTTTCAGCTCAACTAAATCAAATTATTTATATTACAAAGAATGTGAAGTGGCAAACCCTACTCTGACTTTAATTAAACATGCATGATTTTAATTCATTATAATGCCTGAATAACCTTTGCTTCACGTTCACATCTGCTTGTTTCTTAAAAACATTATTGGATAATCACGCTTTATCATTTAAATGAATAATGCCATTTAAAATCTAATTAGGTTTTTTTTTTTTGCTTCTTTAAATTCTTTGTCATACAGCCAATATAATGCATTAACTATCAATCTTATTCAAACATGTTGTTAAAGTGGCCATTATTCACATGACTCCCTCCGATTCCAGTCATGCTAGCGCTTAATTAGTTCTTGATTAGTCTGTGAGTTCATTCACCATTAGTTCAGCTATTTGTTCAATTATTAGTACATGATTTATATATCCTATTTGTAAAGTGTTAGTGAAATTCCTTAAATGTGCCTTTAAGTGTTGTTCGATCCCCTGACGACTTTAATTAGTGCTGAGCAAGAAATGCACTCTACACTTGTTGATTTTACGTTTTTGCTATTCAAAGGACTAGGCATGACACTTTTACTCTATTGCATTCCATTATTGAAGCTCTTAGATATCTACCAGTCGTTAAGATCTCACATTATCTCACAGTCAGACATTGTCGTGTAACGTAGAACTGTCCTCTAGCGCAGTTGAGCACAGTGGGGCTTTCTCGTTTTTCATGCATATACAGATGGTGCTTGTGGTAGGTTCCAGCTCAAGTATATGTTTGTCTTTTTCTTCATTTTTTGCTGCTGCTTTTGTTTCTACACCCATTCCTGCAGAATAGGATTTCACTTTTGCCTTTTTTATATATATATAGTTATATTCATTCAGTCATTGTGCAGAGGGCTTTAGGAAATAGTGGCCGATGCATCAAGCTACTTGGTGTTTGTTGACGGCAAAGGATCCTGGGACGTGGCCTTGGAAGATTTGATTCAGTACATTGATTCAGTGCTGATATGCCACTTTACTCTGTTTTCTTTAGGCATTTTTATGGCCTGATCCCCAGCACTGGGTTGTATTTAACCCAGCATTTTTTAGAGTGTAATTTGTTTTGTTTTCATAGTTTGATAATGCCAATGTTTGTATGTGCTGAAGTGCTTTAGTTACGCAAGAAAATGGTTTTATACGATGTGGAATATATGTTATGTGCCTTAACACTGGATAACACACATGTAGACAGCAATACATAGTGAATTTTATATACGTGCAGTATATGTAAAGTTATTTGGAGTTATATTAATAAATGAGGTTTAATGAAAAAAAAAATCATTTTGGTTTTTAACAAATTGAAGAGATTATGCTGTATTTTTTTTCCATACTTTATTTGTTTGTTGTTTTTAGATTGGAATGTGCCAGTACTTGGTCTGTCGAGTTCTTGGCCAAGCATCACATGCTGTAATAGAATCCATCCACAGCTGCATTCCAGAGCCTTTCCTTAACTTCAGGGCAGATCACCAGCAGGAATGCAGTCTTTCAGAGTTTGTTATAGCACACATGTAAGCATTGGGTGGACTTTTTGATACTCCGCATGACTTTTATCACTGTCACTGCCATGACTGTTTCTGGCTCATTGTACTGTAATTGGTGTTTGTTATAGTCACACAAAGGTTCAGTTCGTTCTCACTGTAGACTCACTACATTGCCAGCCCTTCGTGAAAACACCTGTTTCAAGTGGTTCTCTGACATTTTGGAGGGGTTTCTTAAATTGTTCACTCATTCTGTGTTTGTTTCTTGACAATTAACAACTCTTTTGTCATAAAACTGAAATAAATGGTAAGAAAATGTTTCTTGTGCTCTCATTTTCTTGTTTGATTTTCTTACTGAACACTCCAAAAGTACAAGTAAAATAAATATTCCAAGTGTTTTGGAGCCTGCGTGTGAGGAAAATGCAGTGTTATTTAGTATTATTGAGATACTATTATAGTTTTGATTAATATTTTTAATTTCCATTTTCATTATAATTTTAGTTAAGGTTTTAACTATAGTCAAGTTTGTTATATATATATATATATTACGATCGCTCAAAAGTTTGGGATCAGTAAGACTTGTAATGTTTTTTTA